GATTGCGGTCTATATGCAAGAGTGCCATTCGTTTGTGGAGCATACCCCTGATGAACAGTACCAGATAATGAATTATGCTCGCCAGAAGTAGTGTCATTAAGAGTAGGGATTGGAGCGGAAGTATAAGAGGTCTGTGTTGCAGTATATGCATAGGATGGCTGTTGAGAAGCTTGTTGTAAAGGCACAACTGTTTGTTGAGTTCCAGACTCTATTGTACGTGATTGAGGCTGCGTATATTGTACAGTCTGTGCAGCGAAATAAGATGGAGAAGTTGCAGGAGCTGAAGCGATTGGATAAGATGGCACATTTGGATAAATACTTGATGATTGATTCGGAGATGCAATAGAAGGATAAACATTTCCGACACTAGGAACTCCTGATGAAGTAACTCGTTGAGGTATAGAATATGAAATCGAAGACGCACGCCGTGCATATGAATTTGAAAACCTCTCATCCAATAGTCGGTCATATAATTTAACAGCTTGCGACAATTTCTCATGCATATCCACAAGATCCTCTAAATAACAGATGAATTAATGTTATTTCTGAAATATACATACATATATATTTTATGTTCATTTAAAAAATAACTTACGATGTTTTTGTATCGTTTCGGTTAAACTCTTCGTCAATTTTGTTTTCAATTCTACAACTTGTTCATGCAACTCCTAATAAACAGATAATAAACAGGTAATAAATATTTAAGTCCATACCTTATTGATATAACTATAAATTTAAATTGAAAACAAACCTGAACTTGACGATCTCTCATCAAATCACCTCCGCTTTGTCGAATTCGTTCAAGCGCCTCTGAGAAACTATAAATGTTTTCTTCTTCAATTGGTGACAATTCGTACATACTTGTCTTATAAGGTGAGTAATCAATTACATTGTAGGCAAGTGAATTTGGGGTTCTACTGATATGTACATCTTGGAGAGAAGCCACGATAGCTGCAGCTATATCTTCTTCCTATACATATAAAATTCATATATTAGAGTATGCTGTTAAAAATAGTTAACTATTGTAACAAAAAAATTAATAAAAGAATTTACCTCTTGTTTTGCAGGCTCAATTTTTTTTGCAGATTTTTGTAATACAGGCTGCACATAGTTTTTGTTAAATTCAGCTTCCTTTAAGGAAAGTTCAATTGCTTTTTTAATATCTTCATCATCTTCATTATCAATATTTTGAGAACTCGATGTATTATGGTTCCCGTTAACAACAGGCAAAATTGAATTTGAATATAATGTGGGTTGTGTGGGTGTGGGATTTGAATAGGGCTTAAAATCTGCAGGGTTAATGCTAGAATGATGTAAATAATATGCTAGAAAAAAATGGAAATAGAATTTTTTTTTTATTGAAGTGTTGTCATTTCATTTTTACCTTCTTGTCTTAAATTGCTTGTTCATGTAACATGTGTCACACACACGTACAGGTTCGTTTATACCGATGTGTGGTAATGTAGTCGTTTTAGAAGAACATTCACCACAAAACGTCTTACCACAATTTCTACAATGATGCTAGTTATATCAGGTTGGATACCATTAATAAAATTTATATGAAACTATAAAAGAATCTATTTAAAAGGTTCGTTGAATACCTTTCGATTTATCATAGTAAATTGTGCTCTACATCGCTCACAATCATCACTATCAGTCCATTCAGGTGGCTTAATTTACATCAATAAACATAAAATCAATATTAAATATATATATATATATATATGTATGTATATAAAGAAAATTAAAATGTTACCGTTGCAGTATCAATCATAACTGCGGCTGCCTTATCAACTTTTGGGAATATACAACCTTAAAGTAATTACAAATATAAACAGATCAGTTGCTGGTAAAATAATAATAAATAATGTAATAATTAATCAGAAACTTACCCTCATGCTTCAACAATTTGTAGGTATCCGTTACATACGTAAGTCCGGGTCTGTCCTCAAACGTTAAACCCCACGTTTGAATCAGTCCCAGTATCTTTTGTATGACTTCATGATTAGAATTATTCTAGTATATAGTTGGTAAAAGTTAATTAGAGCATTATTCAATTGTAGTAAAGCTATATGATAAAATTACCGATTTTATAATGGACACTAAAGTGTCGACAAAGTCTCTAGACGCGACTTCAATTAGGAAATGATGACCACCGTTCTTGACACAAGTATCAGTTAACTATATAAAGTTTAATCAGAAATTTCGTTTACTATTTTATCATAAATCTTTTGTAAAATCATACTTTCAAACTTACGCTAAGAGCCAAAAGTTGAACATTTGGATTTTCATGTGTGATTCTTTTTTTTAGAATTCTCAATGCTTCCTTGGGCTGAACCGACTTACTACGAATTTGATCACTTATATCGAGATTTAAGGCCAGGTTATCTTGACCTTTGGGGACCAATTCAGAAGTGGCTTTTTCTAGAGGCATACACAAATAAATTTAGTAAATTTAATAAAAAGTAAAAGTTTAGCTTGCAGAATTCCGAGAAAGATAGCGGCGAATATTAAACGCACTCACCTACTGATTCTTCAAAAGGGTTAACACCAAAAATTCTCGAAACCATGTTCAATAATTTTTACTTTGTTGATTGAAAAATTTAGAGTTCTTGTGATCGTAGGAATTGCACTTAAATAGCACGATTACAAAAGATTACCGCATTAATCGTGATTTGGCTAAATTATGAACTTGTCGACGTAGTACAGGATATTATTATTAATACCAATCTATATAATCTATATTTAAACATAAAAAAAATGTATGTACGTATGTACTTACGTACGTACGCAGTCTAAAATGCAAATCCTGATTAGGATTGATTATAACGATAGCATTCTGCGACTTTATCACAAAATTTTCTAGAATATACGGACTTCGGCGTAATCA